TAAGAAACTCACTCAAAACCGCTCAACTACATGGAAACTGAACAACCTGCTCCTGAATGACTACTGGGTACATAACGAAATGAAGGCAGAAATAAAGATGTTCTTTGAAACCAATGAGAACAAAGATACAACATACCAGAATCTCTGGGACACATTTAAAGCAGTGTGTAGAGGGAAATTTATAGCACTAAATGCCCACAAGAGAAAGCAGGAAAGATGCAAAATTGACACTTTAACATCGCAATTAAAAGAACTAGAGAAGCAAGAGCAAACAAATTCGAAAGCTAGCAGAAGGCAAGAAATAACTAAGATCAGAGCAGAACTGAAGGAGATAGAGACACAAAAAACCCTCCAAAAAATCAATGAATCCAGGAGTTGGTTTTTTGAAAAGATCAACAAAATTGACAGACCACTAGCCAGACTAATAAAGAAGAAAAGAGAGAAGAATCAAATCGACGCAATTAAAAATGATAAAAGGGATATCACCACTGACCCCACAGAAATACAAACTACCATCAGAGAATACTATAAACACCTCTACGCAAATAAACTGGAAAATCTAGAAGAAATGGATAATTTCCTGGACACTTACACTCTTCCAAGACTAAACCAGGAAGAAGTTGAATCTCTGAATAGACCAATAGCAGGTTCTGAAATTGAGGCAACAATTAATAGCCTACCAACCAAAAAAAGTCCAGGACCAGATGGATTCACAGCTGAATTCTACCAGAGGTACAAGGAGGAGTTGGTACCATTCCTTCTGAAACTATTCCAATCAATAGAAAAAGAGGGAATCCTCCCTAACTCATTTTATGAGGCCAATATCATCCTGATACCAAAGCCTGGCAAGGACACAACAAAAAAAGAGAATTTTAGACCAATATCCCTGATGAACATCGATGCAAAAATCCTCAATAAAATACTGGCAAACCGGATTCAGCAACACATCAAAAAGCTTATCCACCATGATCAAGTGGGCTTCATCCCTGGGATGCAAGGCTGGTTCAACATTCGCAAATCAATAAACATAATCCAGCATATAAACAGAACCAAAGACAAGAACCACATGATTATCTCAATAGATGCAGAAAAGGCTTTTGACAAAATTCAACAGCCCTTCATGCTAAAAACGCTCAATAAATTCGGTATTGATGGAACATACCTCAAAATAATAAGAGCTATTTATGACAAACCCACAGCCAATATCATACTGAATGGGCAAAAACTGGAAAAATTCCCTTTGAAAACTGGCACAAGACAGGGATGCCCTCTCTCACCACTCCTATTCAACATAGTGTTGGAAGTTCTGGCTAGGGCAATCAGGCAAGAGAAAGAAATCAAGGGTATTCAGTTAGGAAAAGAAGAAGTCAAATTGTCCCTGTTTGCAGATGACATGATTGTATATTTAGAAAACCCCATTGTCTCAGCCCAAAATCTCCTTAAGCTGATAAGCAACTTCAGCAAAGTCTCAGGATACAAAATTAATGTGCAAAAATCACAAGCATTCTTATACACCAGTAACAGACAAACAGAGAGCCAAATCAGGAATGAACTTCCATTCACAATTGCTTCAAAGAGAATCAAATACCTAGGAATCCAACTTACAAGGGATGTAAAGGACCTCTTCAAGGAGAACTACAAACCACTGCTCAGTGAAATCAAAGAGGACACAAACAAATGGAAGAACCTACCATGCTCATGGATAGGAAGAATCAATATCGTGAAAATGGCCATACTGCCCAAGGTAATTTATAGATTCAATGCCATCCCCATCAAGCTACCAATGAGTTTCTTCACAGAATTGGAAAAAACTGCTTTAAAGTTCATATGGAACCAAAAAAGAGCCCGCGTCTCCAAGACAATCCTAAGTCAAAAGAACAAAGCTGGAGGCATCACGCTACCTGACTTCAAACTATACTACAAGGCTACAGTAACCAAAACAGCATGGTACTGGTACCAAAACAGAGATATAGACCAATGGAACAGAACAGAGTCCTCAGAAATAATACCACACATCTACAGCCATCTGATCTTTGACAAACCTGAGAGAAACAAGAAATGGGGAAAGGATTCCCTATTTAATAAATGGTGCTGGGAAAATTGGCTAGCCGTAAGTAGAAAGCTGAAACTGGATCCTTTCCTTACTCCTTATATGAAAATTAATTCAAGATGGATTAGAGACTTAAATGTTAGACCTAATACCATAAAAATCCTAGAGGAAAACCTAGGTAGTACCATTCAGGACATAGGCATGGGCAAAGATTTCATGTCTAAAACACCAAAAGCAACGGCAGCAAAAGCCAAAATTGACAAATGGGATCTCATTAAACTAAAGAGCTTCTGCACAGCAAAAGACACTACCATCAGAGTGAACAGGCAACCTACAGAATGGGAGAAAATTTTTGCAATCTACTCATCTGACAAAGGGCTAATATCCAGAACCTACAAAGAACTCAAACAAATTTACAAGAAAAAAACAAACAACCCCATCAAAAAGTGGGCAAAGGACATGAACAGACATTTCTCAAAAGAAGACATTCATACAGCCAACAGACACATGAAAAAATGCTCATCATCACTGGCCATCAGAGAAATGCAAATCAAAACCACAATGAGATATCATCTCACACCAGTTAGAATGGCAATCATTAAAAAGTCAGGAAACAACAGGTGCTGGAGAGGATGTGGAGAAATAGGAACACTTTTACACTGTTGGTGGGATTGTAAGCTAGTTCAACCATTATGGAAAACAGTATGGCGATTCCTCAAGGATCTAGAACTAGATGTACCATATGACCCAGCCATCCCATTACTGGGTATATACCCAAAGGATTATAAATTATGCTGCTATAAAGACACATGCACACGTATGTTTATTGCAGCACTATTCACAATAGCAAAGACTTGGAATCAACCCAAATGTCCATCAGTGACAGATTGGATTAAGAAAATGTGGCACATATACACCATGGAATACTATGCAGCCATAAAAAAGGATGAGTTTGAGTCCTTTGTAGGGACTTGGATGCAGCTGGAATCCATCATTCTTAGCAAACTATCACAAGAACAGAAAACCAAACACCGCATGTTCTCACTCATAGGTGGGAACTGAACAATGAGATCACTCGGACTCAGGAAGGGGAACATCACACACCGGGGCCTATCATGGGGAGGGGGGAGGGGGGAGGGATTGAAAAAAAAAAAAAAAAAAAAGAATAAACAATCATGTCTGCCATGGGAACAGGAAAGGAGGTTGTTTCAAGAGCACCCTCCTTGCTAGTACTGACCTTGAGACAAACTGACGTTTCCAGCTCTCTGTCATATAAACATCTGTTGAGTAATGTTTTTGTGTAACTCAGTCTTTGGACCTAAGTATAAGACTTCATATCTGCCTCAGTTGAATTTGTTAGTTTATCTCTGTTATTTAAACTATCTTTGAAATTTGACTGATCTCCAGCATATTAATCATCACTCCTAGCTCTACATAAACTACAGAATTGGAAAGATATTTTTTCTGTTTATTCAAATCATTGATAACAATGCTGAACAGATCGTGTTCCTCCTGTAAGAGCATAACAGAAACAACACCAACAGCAAACAATGAAAACAAAAACAATAAAAGCAAATGCATTATTGAGTGCTTTCTTCAACCTGGGAGTTCTTATCTTTACATGGATTTTCTCATGTTTATCTTTATGATAAATCTGCAAATTAAATGCTATTATGAGCAACTGTTATTATCTGTGTTTTATAGATGAACCAACTTTGGCACAGAGGTTAAATTAATGTGGATAATAAACATGATTACCTGCCCAGTAAATGAAAATTCTGTCAGTATCTTGGCATTGCAATGTATCAGAGCTGGGAAAACCACTCAGTCTTGGTTCTGTCGTTTTCAGCCATTTTTTTCCTCCCATTTCTACACCAAGTGTTTTCCCTCTAATAGAGCAGACGGAAGCAAGATGAAGGATAATTATCTTTCTTTCTCCCATCAAATAATATTATGTGCCACATGCCCTGATTCTTGGGGTTATCATTTCCTTGTTTTTCTTCCTGAAACATGGCTACGAACCTTCCTTCCTCTCTTTTTTAGTGTTTTTTCCATGAATCAGTTTATTCTGGGGCTATAACTTTCCTGACATCCTAAGAGCTTGATTTTTCACTTCTGTTCCGTCCCATATTTTAAAGATGTTCATAAAATTCAATCTTATGGGAGGCTCCTTGAGCATCTATTTTGGTCTTTGCAAGATCTCTCATCTTTTTCCTCCTGTCTTTCAAAAGTGATCAGAGATCACGGAGTGGAAATTTCACTTTTAAAACTTCACGTCTCTTTTGAGCAACAATTCTTTGACTCTCTTGTGAATTCTTTGGAAACCTTCTTGACAATATCTAAGTTACATAGATCTGACTCTCTTTTGTCATTAAAAACTAGTAGGTGAGGCTGGGCACAGTGGCTCATGCCTGTAATCCCAGCACTTTGGGAGTCTGAGGTGGGCAGATCACGAGGTCAGGAGATTGAGACCATCCTGGCCAACATGGTAAAACCCAGTCTTTACTAAAAATACAAAAATTAGCTGGGCGTGGTGGTGCATGCCTGTAATCTCAGCTACTTGGGAGGCTGAGGTAGGAGAATCGCTTGATCCAGGGAGTTGGAGGTTGCAGTAAGCCAAGATCGCACCACTGCACTTCAGCCTGATGACAGAACAAGACTCCATCTCAAACAAACAAACAAACAAAAAACTAGTAGGTGAGTTTTTCATCTTCCCAACTTCTTCAGATTTTTGAGTCTGCAACTCCATTTTTCCATCATTAATGTAAAGATCAAAATGAAAAAAATCCTTAATTTTTACTTCTATATAGAGAAAGGTGAAAGGTGACTTACATGGTATTTTAGCATAATAACCATTTTAATAATGGTTTCAGAAGATTATAATTTAATATATTGCCAATGTTTTTAATCTTCTTACTGACTGCTTCTCATTCTACCCTTTATCAAACAGTTTAAATGCTGTGGTTTGGTCAATGGAGCTGCTGATTGGGGAAATAATTTTCAACAAGATCCCAAATTATGTGAATGTCTAGATACGCAGAGACCATGCACCAACTATAATGGAGAACAAGTTTACGAAGAGGTGAGAACTAAATCGCATGTGATAAAATAAGAAATTCTGTTACTTTCTTTTCACAATTAAAGTCCCTACAAAAAATTAAAATGTATCAAGTACAATGGGAATCATGATATAAAAATCTCAGAAATTTCCCAAATTAAAAAAAATCCTTATTTAAAGATAAAAGCAGATAGACTTCATTTATTCTATGAGTCTGGCATCATTTAAGTCCAATCTTAACAGGTCAAAGAAACATTCTGCTGCAATGGGAGGCAAAGTACAAACTAACATAAAAGTTTATTTTGTCCTCTCTTTGGTCATCTTAATCATTATTCTCCTTTATTTTTTCCTACTTTAACATGACTTCTAGAAAACAATATTTTCACTTTAATTTTCAAAGTCAATGTTTTTTGTTTTCTAATCAAATTTCCTTTTCTCAAGAAATGAGGTTTCTTCTTTGTCAAAATTTTAAAAAAAGAATTCCAAGTCCTTCCCAATACATTTAAGGGTTTAGGTTCTCTATGTTATTGACAGCTACCAATTTACCTAGTTATTGCTGCAATTGAGAAGTTACCTTGAACATTTAAAGTCAATTAAAAAAGACAGGTTAATCTTTTATGTGTTGTAGAGGTCATATTTATGTGACTTGTGAATGTCAGTACATGGGTGTCCTAGTTCTTCTTATTGATCAATTCATCAAATACTTATTGACCACCTTCTATGCACCAAGCCTTCTACCAGTCACTGGAAATTCATTCCTGAACAGAGCACAATGTCAGCACTCATGGAGCTGATGCTTAAATAAGGAAGAGAGAAAGATAATTAGGCAACTTCAATCCGATGGTCTACTACTATTTCATGGGTAGAGATGGGCGCAAGGTGTTATGGGACCCCATCTCACTTAGTCTGTGGGGTTCCGGATATGGCTTCATGAAGAACATGACATCTGTCCCTTCGTCAGCTGTTCCTTCTGCTTAGAAAAAATGTGTTCAAAAATTACAATTGATACTAGTATTTCACTTATTTGCTGTTATTCTTCAGTGCCTACTACATGTCAGATGGAACCTTGCTAGGGTTAGACATACCTCTGAATCCTCTTAGGAGATTACAATCTAGTTGAGAGGCAGATACATTAAAAGCCACTATAAATTCACAATGAATTAATCTTAATATCTATAATACCCAAATATTATTTTCAATCTAGAATTGTTTTGATTTAGTAACTGCTGCTGATATTAATTTATACAAGGAAATAGAAAGTATCTCAGGGGAAACTACCCTCTCCTTGACTATTTTATCTTTTTCACTGATCTTATCAAAATTAAAGAGGCTCTTCCCTGAAGGGGAATTGCTGTCATTAATACTTAAAATATGTCACTAAGATTTAAAATAACTCAATAAGTAATCTACCAGACTACAGTGTTATACTGCGTTTTTCCTTGTCACAGTAATATTACTACAAAAAGCTTGATTCTTACTTTTTGTATTCTCCCTGCTCCTCTCCTCCTTACCTAATGTTAGTGACATAATATTTACAAGGAAAAGGGGAAATAAATATAATGTAAATGAAGATAGTTTCCACTTAGGATAATGAGGAAATCAGTAAATTCAATTGCAGATTGCTATTTGTCTACTGTTCAAATTCAACTCAAAGATGTTTTTCCTCAAGACAGATTCTGAAAAACCCCTGGAATTATCCTAAAAAAACTACTAGATAGTTTCTGTAAGTTCACACAATTCCGCTGAATATAGGCTGATAGCTACACCAGTTCCCCAAAAGGAAGGTTGTAAATTCATAAAATACTTCCATCTGCCATGTGTAAGTTGCAAGAAGTCTGGTAAAATGAAAAATATGGAATGGCCATAATTCATATTCCTTTTTTTTCTCTTCCTTTTGCCAAGATAACCTCATTATCTTAGGGGAAGAGGAAGAGAAAAACCCTTGAAACATAATGAATGTGACTCAGTAGATATAATCATTAATCTCATCGTTAACCTAAATGACATAATAATTTCCTTGAATGTTTACCACTTTGGGTTAAAGGTGAATGGAGAAACTCATTACAGTCAGGAATGAAGGGGAAAAGATGACTTAGCCTTCTGGAGAACTTTTATTTTATTTAACAAATAGCAATATTTTGTTGGCCCTTTGCATATATATAACCATCCAAGGGATAATATATTTCAGGGCAGTACAAAAATAACACTATTATATTGTGTGGTCTTATTCCATTTTAAAAGTTCTTCCCATAATTTACAATTCTTGAAGTTACTAGGTCTAGTCCAAAATGTTTTAAGCATGAAAATGCATGCTGGATTGCATGAAAATGCATACATTTCAAAAATGTAGCAGAGAGGCAACTTTCTAAATTCTCTTTTTTGTCTAAAGTAATGGCATAATGGTAGACATAGTAAGTTTTTTCTTTTTAAGATAAAAATAGTCCTGATAAATATTAAGGGATTTTGAAAATGTCTTGTTTTTTTCCGGCAGCGGTGACCTCAAGCCTGTTATCCCCACACTTTCAGAGGCTGAGGTGGGTGGATTGCTTGAGCCCGGGAGTTCAAGACAAGCCTGGGCAACATGGCAAAACCCTGTCTCTACAAAACACAACAAAAATTAGCCAGGCATGGTGGCACATGCCTGCGGTCTGAGCTACTTGGGAGGCTTAGGTGGGAGGATCACTTGAGCCCAGGAAGTGAAGGCTGCAGTGAGCCAAGATCGCGCCTCTGCACTTAGCTTCAGTGCTGGAGGGAGACCCTGTCTCAAAGAAAAAAAAAAATGGAAGAACATACCTTGTTTTAAAAATGAAAATTTGCAATATTATTAGCTAAAATCTCAACCAGGAACCTTTCTGTTGTAGATTACAAACCTAAAACATCCTTAGTCAAGGTGGTATCAGCTCTAAAATGAATAAAGTTAAGATAAAATTATCATTTATACTTTTATGTTATAAAATGTATAGCTTTATCAACTATAAAATTTATAGTATAAATTATAAAATCTATCACTTGAGGATATGTTGGTGAAAAATCATTTATAATTATTAATCCCTAGATTCATCAATTAGGCAGTCAAGCAAAATTTTGTTCCTCAGTTGCTTTTTAATGTATAAACAAACCACAACAGTTACAACCTTTTGGAGCAAGGGTGAAGCAGGGAGTGCAAGGAACAACCCAGTTTCTTGTTGTTAAGTGTGTTTCTTGTTAGCAATGTAAAAAGTCAAACAAAAGAATAAAAATTTTGATTAATATAAGGTCGAATTTTTCTGAGGTAACTTTTAATGTTTTTGTTTTTTTTTTTTTAACAGCCCTGTATTTCTACCATAAAAGACTTATTGGCGAAAAGTTTCATAATAGTTATTGGAATAGCATTTGGACTGGCAGTTATTGAGGTACAGTATAATCTTGTATTATTGACTCTTTATTCTCTTGCTTGTTCATTAATTTTAAGAAATATTGATGGTGAACAAACAAACAAACAAACACAACAACCATAAGAAAACACAGATGCTTTAGAAAAGCACTGGATGCTGAAGGCTCATTATCTCCCTCAGTCAGCCTGAGTCTGAGGAGGAGATTCCCGTCTTAGGAAGTGAGCAGGGCTGAGACTCTTGCTTTTGAATGACCTCTCTACCGGGAAAAAGAATTAATTTTCGCATAGTTCTTAGTGCCAGGTATCTTTTTCCCACTGAAAACTAGCACAAGGGTTAAAATTTTCCAAAGTTAGAAGAAAAAGCACCAAACAAAGCAAAATACGACCTTTACAATTTCTTATTTCTCATCTTGATTTTGAAACAAAATAAAAACTGAACTCAAGAGTGTGAGAAGCTGTTTTCTTGTTACTTATTATTACATTCTAGAGAAATCCAAGAAGTTCTAAAAAGTAGAGGTAATTACCTCTGATATCCTCAGCTTAACTACTATTGACTCACTTGGAGAAATTTTCAAGGAAAATTGAGGCTTATATATTACTTTCATCACTTTAATTATTGATGTTGGAAAAATATCCCACATAGGATTTTTGTCTTGATGAACTTTCTTGGCATGTTTAAAAAAAAAAAAAAAAAAGCACCTGAAAGACACTTTTCACATGACCTAAATTTGCCAAGAAAATGAATTAAAACTGCTTCAGAGAAGCATTTTGGAATCATCCCAGATCTTGGGTAATTTTGATATCAAGTAGATCAAATTCACTCACAATCCTATTCCAGGACATTAGCAAGAATGTTAATAATATGAAGTATCTCCCTGGTTAATGCCTGTGAGAGCTGGTTAGCTCAGCTGAGTGACTTGTGCTTCATGCTCATGGAATGCTGTGCGAGGTACTCCTTGGGCTTTCTGGTAATTTTCTACCTCTTACTCATGCCATATCACTGCCAGAAAGAAATTTTAACTGAGAATGAAGCAATTTGGTGGCCTACGTGGTTCTTTAGTTTGCTGGTGGAATTTCCCAGGCAACTATTAGAGAATGGTTAGGGACTATTAGCAGCAAATTAAACAGTGGGTTATTACTTTCTTGTCATCCAAATGAATAGGTATAAATATGAAGCATTCTTTGTTGGTAGGTTATGGCTATCTTTCTTTAGGTCTGATATATGTTCAGAGTCAAATGGTGCTATGGATTAGGTCTATTTCTCTTGATTCTGCATTTTGTAAGATGTATTTTGTTTCTCTGCTTTGTATTCTGGATTTATGCTAATTTAGAAATAAGGACTAATGGTCATGAAGATGAGTAAGAAATGAATGATTTAAATGAATCATTAGTGATTTTAAATGAATGATTTAAATGTATGAGACAACATGTTTTAAATGAGATATTTAATATAAGAGTTATATTTCATGTTAAACTCAAGTTCTGACAATTGACTATCACTAGCTCAAATCACAGATGCTCCTCAGTTAGCAAAACCAGAAAAAGTAAGGACATACTTGATTGGGGAGATTGATGAAATACTTTGTGTCATAGTCAAAGGCATTTTCAAGAATTTAAATACATCTAGTGGAAAATAAGATTACAAAAAGATTAATGCATTTCAGTATTTTATGAAATTGGTATATTCCATGTATTAATTACACGTTTAAATATTTTATTGGTTCTTCTAAAGACATATTCAGAGAAAAATAGCTCAATACAAATATTCTATACAGTAATTTATAGGTATGAAGTGTTTGTGGTACTATCATAAAACATAACTGTTTTTGAATTAGACCAAATTAATTGTGATTTCTAGACTATCTGCAGATATGGTAAATAGTTGGTTCAAGTAACTGAACTTTTTAAAATTGTTGTTCAGTTCCTCAATCTAAAACCTACCCTCCCTCTTTTAAAGGGAAACAAATCATTTTATATTCCATCTTCCTTTATTCAAAAAGTAGATTGGAAAAGTCTTCTGATACCCAGTCCATAAATTATGTATCCCAAAAAGAGCATTTTATAGCTCATCTTACAGTCATTAGTACAAGTTTTCTATTGCTCTTTGACTTAGGCCTATCTCCCTTCTTTGTTTCCAAAGTTCAAATTCAAAAAAACACAAAGATACGAAAACAGAAAATCTCCTCTAAAAAATACTTTTAAGAAAACAGAAGCAAATATCTTCCTGCAGAAAATATGTTCAGAATGTCTCCACAGAAAAATATCATATAAAAAAAGACTGTCCCATATTTAGACCTTATGTTAGTATGTTTAGGCATAAGTTTTAGTGAGATGGGCCAATATTTGTTTCCAAAGCTCTGTTAGGATTATGTACCTAAGGGATTCTTCTCACATTGAATGCTAAAAATTATGCAAACTACCTTATTCTGCAAGAAAAATTTATCTATAGACATTTTTGGAATTCTTATTATTCTAGCTTAAAACAACCAGACTATCATATCTTTCCTCATTTGACTATAGCAACTTTACAAGCACAAAAAATGATCAGCACTTTCCTTGCTTTAATAAAAAAAGAAAAACTACACACTGAGAGCCATCACTTTGTAGGACAGAAGTTATCCCAACAGGAGGTCCTAGAAATAAAGCAGTTAAAAGAAAAATGATAATTTGACATGTTTTTAGACTGCTGCATACCTCTTAGCAAATTTATCATGAGTCTTGGCATACATTATAAAATGACGAATCTCTTTTAGTTGTGTGTTATTTTTTTGAACAATGATAAATGTTTTTTTCAGGGACAATGAAATGCAAGAAAGTGTGATATTAACTGTCTAGTCTGCTGATAAATGGTGGGCTTCCATTTCAAGGATGTAGCAGTGAAAGATGATAGTTGTCTTATCCCATTATTTTTTCCCATTAAAAAAAGTTCTTTCTTGATACTTGTCCCACAGACTTAAGGCTCAGCATCAAGGCAAAAAGACTAAATTTCAGTCTTGAATTGTAGAATATTTTAAATAGAAATTATTACTTTTGCAGAGAATTGGTGTCAACCATTTTAAGAAAGAAGAAGTATTGGTTAGCAGTTCTCATTTGAATTACATTTCCAGTAAAGTGTTAGTAAGCAGAAAGTCTCAACACAGTAGAAGCATGTAAGTTGACTCAGCATAAATGGCACTTTGCCCTCCTCCGTCGTCCCTTCAAAGGGGGCTGGTGGGGAAGGAAACTTTCTATTGGTAACGCACACAGGTCCTGTCTATCATTTTACGTCAAAGACATAGCGTGCAAGCCACCAACTGTAGAGCCAATTAGAGCAAATTTTGGGGTCCCTCATTCTTGGGAGAGCTACTTGAGATGGAAATTATGCCCCAGATTTTCAGTTGTGCTTTTTCACTTCAAAAGAAATTCCTGAATTAAGCTATTCCCCATAGTTTAGAAGCTTTTTTTTAAAAAGAGTTACTTCATTTTTGTATTCCTCTTGAAAATGCCTAAAACTGCAGCAGAAAAAATTCTAGACTCCTTGATTTTTATGCAGATGATTTAAACCAGATGCTAATAACCTTTTTATGGAAGCAGTACGTATATTTAGCCCCCAGGGACCTGAGATCCCCAGTGCTCCAGAGGAGACGCTCTGCAGAAGAATGTGTGTGTTCCAGGAAAGGGAGTGGATCTTCTGGTGGCAGCTGCTACTGTGCAGTTATATAGGGCCAGTTAGATAGAGGCTGATTGGCCACCTAAAAAATGCTGATTAAAACACAAAAAAACTTAGAGAGCGTTTGCAGTGCTCTTCTGTCCCATTGGAACCTCTAATTTTCCAAGAGAGATGACTTAGATAGGATTGGAACTGTCAGTATACAAAATCTTTTCATATATAATGTTCTTTCTGTTTATTTATAATGTGTCCAGTGTTTTCCCTTAAATTCCATGTTAATCCTCTTATTTTGTTCTCTAGATACTGGGTTTGGTGTTTTCTATGGTCCTGTATTGCCAGATCGGGAGCAAATGAATCTGTGGATGTGTCAAGCTATCACCAGTAAAACCCCTTTAAAATGTTGCTTTGGCTTTGTAAATTTAAATATGTAAGTGCTATATAAGTCAAGAGCAGCTGTCTTTTTAAAATGTCTCAGCTAGCTAGACCACAGATACCTTCTAGACATATTGAACATATTTAAGGTTTGAGATCCCTTAAATATAAATATAAAAATGATATGAATGTATATTTTTACTCAAAATAAAAGTAATTGTTTACGTTGGTGCTTTTCTATGTCTGATCCTTGTGTTCAGGTGGTACAGTGCTTAAAATGTTCTTCTGGAGCCACCCAGTGGAATAATCAACTCCAAGCTGACAGGGCCACAGATAGTTAAGACAGTGGATCTGGGGTTCTTCAGAAACGATACTCTTTTATGTGATGTATCAACCACTGGTGACACGATTGAATCAAGTCTAATGTTAAAATAATTGGCAATGATCCAGGTAAAAGAGTCACCATCTCTTTTCTATTTATGTCACAACTACTAACAGTATCTCTCTTTTGCTGCGTGTCTATTGTAGGAACAAAAAGGTCTGAGTGCCCAACACCCAGCCATTGCTTCTCTGGTACCCGTCTGGATCTTCCTCTCAGACACGACAGTTATAACATTTTTTTCTTTCTAGTTCTCAGAAATATTTAACATTTTGGCTTTTTAGAGAAGTATAATATACAGACAATAAAGTCGATAATTCTTAATGTATAGCTCTGTGAATATGTGTACATCTGTGTAAGGACTAAGATCAGAGTTGGGCACAGTTGGCTCATGCCTGTAAGCTCAGCTGCCTGGGAAGCTGAGACAGTAGGATCTCTTGACCCCAGGAGTTTGAGACCAGCCTGAAAAATAGCGAGGCCCCCATCTCCAAAAAAAAAAAAAAAAAAAAAAGAAGATACAGAATATTTCTAGCACACCAGAAGAATGCTCCTTCATGCCGCCTCTCAGCAGTGGGCTGTATTTGGCTCACACCGACTTGCTGAGCAGATTGTACACATATACACAAAAGTTTTGTACACAAAGTTCTTCCCAACTTTGTGTTCAGTAACATGACATTGGTACCTTGAAATCTACCATGCTCGGAGTATTTATGCCATAGATACTGACAAATGCTGTAAATTCAGGGCTTTTCTTTCTTTTCTTTTCTTTCTTTTTTGGAGAGCTGGTTGATAAACATTTACCAATACACTGCCCCTCTCTGTAAATACTTCCCTAAAGGTAACCACTTTTCTGACTTCTGTGACATAGACTCATTTTGCCTGTTCATGAATTTTCTCTAAGTGGAATAATAAAGTGTGCACCCTGGCTTCTTTGGCTCAACATTTTGTGTGTGAGAATCAACCATTTGTTGCATGTAGCTGTAGTTTATTCTAATAGCTATGTAGCATTTCATTGTGTATGAATATATCACAATGTATATATCCATTCTTCTGTTGATGGGTATATAGTTTGTGTTCGGTTTGTCATGATTATAAATAAAGCTTCTATAAACATTCTTTTATATGTCATTTGGAACATGTATGTACTCATTTCTGGCTATATATGCAGGAGTAGAACTGCTTTGCATACATATGTTTAGCTTTAATACATTCTGTCAAGAAATTTTCTAAAGTTCCTTTTTTTTGAGACAGAGTCTCACTCTGTGGCCCAGGCTGGAGTGCAGCGGATATCTCAGCTCACTGCAACCTCTGCCTCCTGGGTTCACTCCATTCTCCTGCCTCAGCCTCCTGAGTAGCTGGGACTCCGGCGCCCAGCACCACATCCAGCTAATTTTTTGTATTTTTTAGTAGAGATGGGGTTTCACCGTGTTAGCCAGGGTGGTCTCGATCTCCTGACCTTGTGATCCTCCTGCCTTGGCCTCCCAAAGTGCTGGGATTACAGGCGTGAGCCACCACGCCTGGCCTTTCTAAAGTTCTTGTGCTAATGTATGCTGATACTAGAAAAGTATAATAGACTCAGTCTCATCTTCTGAGAAAGAGAAATATTATGGAAGGCAGTTCTTGTCAAGCTGATTAGATGGCAGCCAAGCAGTAGGAAACTTGGGGGAGCTTTGGGCTGGGTTAGGCACCCTTATTCTGTGCTTCCCTATTAATGATAAAAATAGCGGCTAGGTGAGGTGGCTCACACCTGTAATCCCAGCACTTTGGGAGGCTGAGGTGGATGGATAACCAGGTCAGGAGATCGAGACCATCCTGGCTAACACGGTGAAACCCCGTCTCTACTAAAAACACAAAAAATTAGCTGGGTGTGGTGGCGGGCGCCTGTAGTCCCAGCTACTCAGAAGACTGAGACAGGAGAATTGCTTGAACGCGGGAGGGAGAGCTTGCAGTGAGCTAAGATCACGTCACTGCACTCCAGCCTGAGCGACAGAGCGAGACTCCGTCTCAAAAAAAAAAAAAAAAAAAAAAAGCTATCCTTCTTTGAGTACATGTCATCTTCCAGGAACAATACCCAAATCTGTGCTTTTATTATCTCATTTTTAATCACTATATCATTATGAGGTAGGTACGATTATCATTCCCATTTCACAGGTAAGAACATTGAGGCTCAGAGGAGATAGATAATTTTGCTCAGAGTCAATTAGTAATTGGCAGAACTGGGAATCAAACCCTGTCAAATGTGTCCCAAACCCCGACTGTTGATCATGTTAGCTTTCCCATAATAAATTTATCAATAAACTTGCCATATTTTATTATAATTACCCATTCATGTGTTTGCCTCTGTTAGCATCCTCAAACTCTTTGAAGGCATTGATTGTTTTTTCTTTGTCTTTATGTCTCCAGTACCTATTCTTGTGCTTGGCATATAATAGGCACTTAACAAATTGTAGCCAAAAATAGTAGATTTATTGAGAGCATACTGTATGCCCACATATATTCTAACCACTTTACATAGAGTCACTCATTTAACTCAGAACAGCCCTCTTAGTTTGATACTATTACTAGACCAATTTACAGATAAGGAAAGCAGGGCCTAGAGAGATTAACTTTTTTTAGGTCATGTAGCTAGTAAGCAGAGGAGTTGTAATGCACTCTAAGTGACTCAAAATCCATGCTTTTTACATCATACCATTTTGTCATATGTTACAGTGTTATTGGGATAGATAAGAAAATGAATATTAACATGTCTTTTGCATATGTCAGGTACGTATTGCAGGTTCAACAAATATTATATAGTATCAATGATATAAAGAACTTGTATCAGTCAGGGTTGACAGAAAAATAAAAACCCTCCAGCTATTTCAAACAATGAAAAAATTATACAGGGAACTCCTATATTAGTCAGCTTGGACTGTCATAACAAAGTATAGCTGACTAGGTGGCTTAAACAACAGATTTTTTTTTTTCTCAGAGTTCTGGAGTCTGAGAAGTCAAGGATCAAGGTGCTGGCCTATTCAGTTCCTGGTAAGGGCTCTCTTCCTGACTTGCAGTTGAACTTCTTGCTGTGTCTTCACAAGGTAAAAAGAGAGCGTGTGTGTGCACTCTATTGTGTCTTCTTATAAAGACAATGATCCTGTCAGTCCAGGGTTCCACCCTTATGACCTTATTTAACATTAATTACTTTCTTACTCCAAATACAGCCACAGTGGGGGCTTCAACGTACGAATTTTAGGGGGAAACAATTCAATCCATAGTAACTGCTTACAGAGGTGATGGAAAAAGTAAGAAGCCAATAAGGAGGCAAGGTAAACCAGAGATTAGCAACAGCAGGGGTTGCTACTACCCTTAGGACTGGAGAAACAGAGATAATGTTACCAGACCCCAGGATCCAGGGCTGCCTTGTGGAAGATGAGCTATGGCTTGGATTCCAGAGAAAGACTAACAGGAACAGGAGCCATGGAGACTTAGCACTCATTATCAGAAGAAGAGAGAGAGGACAGAGAGCAGTGCCCTGGCTTCTCTCCCTCCCACTTCAGTCTCCTGTCAGACTTCCATTGACTGAGGCCACCTAGAAGTCAGAAAACAAGTGGCCCTGGAAAATACAGTTTCCTCTGACCCAAAGCAGAGCTGAGAATGCAAGGACTGGGCTGAGAGCAGACAGAAAGAAAAGACTGTTAGATTAAGTTTAGCCCAACGATGCCTTCTTATATTGTAAGTTTTACCTAAAGGTTTCTCTGTGCACAGTGAACTGTAACCTAACTGGGTGTGTAAACCAACTATAACCTACTCGTGTGCCAGTCACTCAGTTTTAGTCAATTAAAGGCAGCCAACTATTCAAACTCGGTTCAAGTAAGGCAAACGCAGAACTATAAGCAATCCAGCTGTTTCTGTACCTTACTTCCATTTTCTGTACATCACTTCCCTTTGTGTCCATAAATCTTCCACCACCTGGCTGTGCTGGAGTCTCTCCGACTCCAGTGAATTATTCTTTCCTCAATTAAATTCTGTTAAATTTAATTTGTCAGTGATTTTTCTTTTAACAAGACTGTAATAGCAAATTGAGAGTTAGAGAGCAGGCAAACAGATCCTGAATTTTTTGAGAAAACGATATGAAAATTGCAGAAAGTGTAACAGATTTAAAATTATATGAGACGTTTTTGGGATTCTTCCTCTTTTAGCTCAAGTTCACAACATTTTAGGGGTCTAGAGGACTTACAGCAGTTGTTCTTTACTGGAGGGGGGCATTTTGCCCCTCAGGGGATATTTGTCAATGTCTGGAGACATTTTGGTTGCCACAATGGGTAGCAGGGGGATGTTACTAGTATCTAGTGGATGGAGGCCAGGAATGCTACTAAACTTTCTACAACGTACAGGTACGTGCTCACAACAAAGAATTATTTAGTCTAAAATGTCAATAATGCTGTGATTGAGAGATCCTGCTTTAGAGAATCACACATGTGAATAACAAAATATTGTTGTTGGGAGACAGTAAAATGCGTGTTAAAAAGTGAATTGGATTGGAGTCGGTCCTAGACCAGGCTCTGACTGCTTGCCAATTTTGTATCCTTCGCGAGTCACTCAGTTTCCTCATCTTCAAAGAACACATTTTATTGAAAAGATATTTAAGTACCCTACCATTACTAGAATCTCTGCATGTACTAACTTCTTAAACATGTTTGGTTTTCTGCTGTATTTTTAAATGTCAACATTTATTTGCTTATGATAGTTCACCTAGGCTTTAACTTAATTGTTTTCGTACTGAAGGCAATTATGAGAGAAACTTTTACTCTCCTGCAAGATATTAAATTCAGATTTAAGAATAGGCTCATTCTTTACCTTCATGTTTCCAAGGTCAAACCACAATATTTAAAAATATATTAAATTTGATTAAATTACTTAAGGAACATAGCAAGAACAAAATAAAAGTAAACTCTCATCAAATTAATAATTCCATGTAGATGGAAATGCTGCTTTCAATTCACAGAAATGTAGGAATTATCTTCATTATGCTTAAGACTGTACAATTGTACTAATTTAGATATACAATATGTATATATTAAAGCTTGACAAATACTTCTCAAATCTGTCCACTGCTCTGCTTTCCTGTCACTTCCATCCTATCTTCTCTCTCACAATCCAGCCTGAGGTAGGGTCATTGCAATTATCTTGTGATGAGTTTTCTACCCTTTTTTTCATTCTTCATATCCATTTCCCATGGTGCCACAGGAGTGATCCATCTAAGATGCAGATGTTATCACTCTCTCTCCAGGTTACTCCTCCACTGACTACCAGGTCCTTCATAAGCACCAACTCCACCTTTCCCTGTGATATGGTTTGGCTGTGTCCCCACCCAAATCTCATCTTGAATTGTAACTCCCACAATTCCTGCATGTCATGGGAGGAACCCGGTGGGAGGTGATTGAATTATGGGAGTGAGAGGTGATTGAATTATGAGAGTGGGTCTTTCCTATGCTTTTCTCATGATAGTGAATGAATCTCATGAGATCCGATGGTTTTAAAAATGGGAGTTTCCGTGCACAAGCTCTCTGCCCACTGCCATCCATGTAAGACATGACTTGCTCCTTCTTATCTTCCACCATGATTATGAGTCCTCTCCAGCCATGTGGAACTGTAAGTTCGTTAAAACTCTTTTTCTTCCCAGTCTCAGATATGTCTTTATCAGCAGCATGAAAATGGACTAATACAGTATATTGGTTACTAGGAGAGTGGGGCGTTGCTGAAAAGATACCCAAAAATGTGGAATGTGGAAGCAACTTTGGAACTGGATAACCGGCAGAGATTGGAACAGTTTGGAGGGCTCAGAAGAAGACAGGAAAATGTGGGACATTTTGGAACTTCCTAGAGACTTGTTGAATAACTTTGACAAAAATGCTGATAGTGATATGAGCAATAAGGTCCAGGCTGAGGTGGTCTCAGATGGAGATAAGGAACTTGTTTGGAACTGGAGCAAAGGTGACTCTTGTTATGTTTTAGCAAAGATACTGGTGGCATTTTGCCTCTGTCCTAGAGATCTGTGGAACTTTGAACTTGTGAGAAATGATAAGGGTATCTGGTGGAAGAAACTGCCAAGCAGCAGTGCATTCAAGAGGTGATTT